AAAAATTAAGTGTTTGAAACTAATTTAAGTGACTTTCGCCTCAAGTCAAGCCTTTTTTTCCCTCAAATTTAAATTTATTCTTGTATAAATTGATGTTAACCTAATAAATATGTTGAATTAATAAATTATTTAGCATATCTTTATAAATTAATGGATTGCATTTGTGTTTCTATGCGTTTCCATATTTTTTCTGCGTTTCCATTGCGTTTCCGAAATGTTTCCGAAACGTTTCTATTTTTGAGTTGACCGAAACGGTACTTCGAAACGAAATTTTGATCCTTGCTTTGGATATACATTCAATGTTGTGGCAGAGTATGAAAAGCTTTGTATCATACAATTTCAATCTGTCATATGGCAGTGCGATAACAATCGTGCCTATTCAACACTATGATATCTTACTCTCCTGTTCAAAACATAGGCAGTGGAAATCATGGCAGCTATTAACATTGGCAGAAGAGACAACTCAATTTTCATTAGTGGTACCTCTAAAGGCCTCAAGCAATAAGCAATTCCATCCATTTTGGGACATCTTTGAAGCAAGTTGTCAGTTAAAATTTATTTCCCTTAAACTAATTGATAAAGGCCTAGCAAATAATACCGCAACCAGCAAGAATCTTCTGGTTTTGGATAAAAGCAGGAAGGTACAATGTTACACAAAAAAATAAGCCAAATCTTTAAGTGGGAAATGGGAATTTGAAAAGGAAAACATACGTTGTTCCTGCTATTTTCGTGCTAATGTGGGTGATGTTATCTGGAAAAAGCTTTGCCAGCCCAAAGTCTCCAATCTTTGCCGTAAAGTCCATGTCGAGAAGTATATTACTAGCTTTGATGTCCCTATGCACTATATGCGGCACAAGTTCTTCATGAAGATATGCAAGACCCTTAGCAATATCCAAGCAAATATCAGATCTCTTTGTCCAGTCCAGTTTTACGTTTCTATTATTTGGACCTGAAACACAAGAGAAAAACATTTTCAGTACTCTATCGTGTATAGGGATTTTAGAAGTCTCTTGAAATGCCATACTAGCTTTTCAACCCACCTAACAGTGCGCGGTCAAGGCTGCCATTTTCTAAGTATTCATATATCAAAATCCGGTTTGTTTCATGAACACAGCATCCAATTAACGCAACAAGGTTTGGATGCTTGACATTTGATATGGTATCAATCTCGGTCAAAAACTCATGCACCCCCTGCTTTGATTCAGCAGAAAGTGTCTTCACTGCGATTTGTATTCCATTTTTTAGGATTCCCTATGGAATAGCAATGGAGTTGGTTAAAACTTGAATAATTGTATGTTAGGGTTAAGGAAAAGAAAGAGAAGAAGAAGAAGAGAGAACAAGAAAGAGAGTCTAAAATCCTGTGGTGTGTAGGGTGTCTGTTGCCAAGACCCTATCACCTATTTATAATATTAGGAAAGAAGAACATAAAAGGAAAATCACATAACATGAAAGTGACATAATAGAAAAGTATAACAATAGGGAAGTAGCACTCTAACAGAGTTAATAAGGGAAACATTTATGTGCAGGGGATGAAAAACACCAAGTACTATATTACTTATGTTTCGTGCTTCAATCTCTCCAAAAAAAAAAAAAATCATTACCATCAAATTATGACCTCCGCGATAATAAAGTTCAAACTCCATTAAAGTCAAATAATTGCTAGAGATTATTATACCAGAGAAAATTTTGCAATCAAATTCTTTGTTTGGTTAATATTCTTCAACTTGTGACTCAAAATACATTGTGCCCTCCAAAAAAAAAAAAAATGCGTAAGATCATGCAAAATAAACCAATCTTGTTACCTCCTTCTCTGGCGTGCATGGATTACCACCAAAATTATTTAGAGTTTAGATTTTAGTTTTGTATGTGACCGTACAACCTCATACCTTCATATTGTATCAGAAATCTGGATATACTGAATGGTTTGTGAAGAGGGTCAGTTATGGAATAAAAACACAAAGTTCCATAACACAATATCATAAAAGGGAAACGAGAATCCACTACAAGGCAATGTTTAATGGCTCAATAGAAATATCACTCTGTTTAGTCCCCATTGATGGGGTCGTGTCATCCAGGTGGGGTAGATTAGGTAAAGACATAACCTTTGACATTTTTTGCAGAAAGCGGCTGCCCTCAGTTCAACATCAAGGCAAGGGCTGGTTTTTAACTGCGCTCTGGGTATTCCAAAAAAAAACCAATACTCATTCTGTGTCGTTTGATAATTATCTTTAAAGAGTGTTCAAGAAAATACCAACTCTTCTAAAAGCCAAAAAAACCTACCAATAAGGTACAGTTAACAACTAACACAACAGAAGCAGCATATATTAACCTCTCCACGCAATCAAAAAAAAATTTCAAAAAAGAATACACTTTTGTAACACTGAATACCTTGTAAACTGTCCCAAAACCTCCTCGCCCTATCTTATTGCTTGGATGGAAATTATTTGTTGCTGTTCGTAGTTCATTGTATTTGAAATTTTTCACTTTTGCAAGCCCTAGACAAGAAGATAAAAACATAGATGAACATAAAAATAAATTTTTATATTCACTGTTTAAAATATAAGTCATGTTCAATGAACGAGGAACACATTATATAATTAATCATATCATGTACCATCTGTTTATGGCCTCTCCTATGTTGTATCAAGCAAATATAACTTACTAGTATATAATAAAATCAAGAACTGATACAGTTCCAATGGTTCTCTTTTAACTATAATTGATGATTTGATCACTCTAAAGCTAACATGAAGATAAACAAAAAATCATTTATTGTACCATGGGATCAAGCTCCTTGGTGATCAATTTCAATAAAGAAATGATAGTAGCAGCCATAATGAACATTTGAAAACAGAGATGGGAAGACCAGTAAAACAGAAGGCTTTCCATCTTATAACTTGGCTAACTTTTATCCCTTTGCATTGATTATGCTTGTATATTGTTGGCTAGAACCTCGAGGAGGAATAAGAAGATTATATCACCCTAGTGTGTTGATCTGGTAGATATCTTTGAGTCGAATAAGTGAACAATGAGATTGATGAGAAAGCACCAAATGTGCCACATAGTCGCTTTCAAATATCTCAGTTCAATCTCATTAAAAAATCGAGAGATGTAAGAACCCATTGAGTATTGTCTTCTAGAAAGATCAATGAAGTGTAGAGCTGCTTCTAAACAGTTGTAACATCAGTGAATATCTTTGAATATTACTGAGGGCTGCAATCTTGCAGCATGCTTAATACATTATTTCTGTCCCAGCTGAAGAAAACGAGGTAAGCAAGCTAATACCAACAAACATCCAGAGTTTTCCTCAAGGATCCCATAACTATTAGCACCAATTCCACTAGATGAATCAATTGAATAAACCTTTTTGATATGCACGGCTAAACCTGCATAACTGAATAATTAAAGTAAACAAGGTGAAAAAAATTAAGACAACTTATGGTTTAACAGATAGCATGACGGTGAAACAACATTCACGTAGTCGACTCCAAAAACGTTGGGACAACACTTTGTTGAGTTGAGTTGAAGGTGAAAAAATGATGAGATACTTGTAATATCGAACATAAGAAATATCATAGTGATGATAACACGGTCACAACGAACGAGGGTGGGACGGAGGGAGGGGGGAAGAGAGAAGAAGAAGAGATTCCAATGTATAAGTGTCTAGGATGTAGGAAATAAAAAGAAGTACAAAGGAATGAATGCACCAATGGGACAACATCAATGCTTGGCAAACAAGATTCTCTATGAATTCAAGAAAGCAACCATTAAGCAAAGTCTCCATATGATCGATTTGTCAAATGCAACGGTATCATGCAAAGAAAAAGAGGAAACAACACAAATAGAGACGAATAATTATGTCCAGGAAAGTGCTTGATACAATGTCATGCAATGTTTTAGCATAACATTTCAATTTTCAAGAGACAGAATCATAAATTTGATTCACATATCATAAGCACTTGTTTCAAATTAAATAATAATATCAATTGACATATAAAAGAAGTTCGTGGGTTCATTTGCTAGACATGAGACTGAAAAACAACCCATTGATAGTACTAAAAAGACAGAAAATAAGACATAGGATGTAAGGATTGCGTCACTATTACTTATTATTTATCAAAGAAAATAAGAGTTGAATCATCCAGTAGGCAAGATGCATGACATTACCTTCTAAATCTCTCTCAGCACGGACATCGCCCTTTTTCCGATGCACAACTGAGGAACCAAAGCAGCTACAGTTCATGTCCGCCTACAGTTTACTACAATAATCTTCTGAATTCTATTTATTTAATGCTATTTATGTGCAAAGCAGAACTCCCATTACAACATTTCCTTTTGATATCATCAGCTTCTCCCACTCCTTCCCACCTGCCAAAAAACACAGACAATATAAATTAGACAGCTTCCCTTGCCTTTCACCTACTTTACACGCACACACAGTCACTTGTTCATCTAGGGTTTTCACGAAACCAATCTGCATCATAAACTTATCAAACAAATTTAAGAGTTTCACTTCAGATCCAGTGATAAACATTAGAATTAACTTCATAAAATCACAATTACATATAAAAAACCTAATTCTTCGAATAATTGGGCACGCTGAACAATTGGACCAGCATGCCGGCTGTGCAATCGTATAATCCTTCTAGCTCAATTTATCGAACAGTAAATGATGAATATGAACAAATTTTCAGGAATTTTTTGTTGAATTCGAGGTTTGACGACGAAATCGAATAAAACTTTCTTCGACCGCGTTACGGTGCTCTTCGTCTTCTCCTCCTCCTCTTATTATTCTCGTTTACTGTTTATTTTGTGGTATTTTTTTGCCGATTAACATTAACATTAACTTCATAAAATCACAATTAAAAACAAAATACCTGCAATTTCGAATAATTGAACCATCGTGCCAACTGTGGACTCGAAAAAAAAGCCTCGACCTCAATAATCGAAGAGAAAACGATGGATATGAACAAATATTCGCGAATTGTTGTTGATTTCCAGGATTGACAGCGAAGTCGAATAAGAACAACTTTCTCCGACCGCGTTTCGGTGCTCTTCGTCTTCTCTTCCTCGTCCTTTTATTCTCGTTTACTGTTGATTTTGTTGGATAAGATCCAGTGTTTAACATCAAAATTAACTTCATAAATCACAATTACGCATAAAATACCTGCTGCTTTGAACAATTGAAGCAGCGATGCCGGCTGTGGACTCGTACAAAGCCTCGAGCTCGATAATTGAACAGCAAATGCTGAATATGAGCAATTTTCAACAAATTTGTTGCTTGAATTCAAAATTTGACGACGAAGTTGAATGAGGTATTTTCTCGGAGCGCTTTCCAGTGCTCTTCGATCGACTTGTTCTCTTCCTCCTTGTGTTATAGTGTTTAGTGTTGATTTTGTGGAGGTGGGGTAGTTAGCGGGTGGAAATGGTCACTGGTTTGTAGCTCGCGCGATAATCTCCGCGTTCAGACCTATAATTGATGTTTGAGTCTTCTGTTCCTATGAAAGTGACCGTTGCCGCCGTTCTCAACAAGCACTGGCATCAGATTCCCCAACCAATTTTCAATTTTTCATCAATTGCTTAAATTATTTTATACACTTTTCTTTTAAATAATCCTTAAAGAAAAATCATATCTACCGATATTCATACGAATACGAATACTTCCTTTTTAATGCCTGAACAGATCCATGCTGAATTGATAATGTAATTGCTAATTGTTTCAGTTATATGACTGTTAATACAAAATTAGTTTGGACAGTGGACTTTAAAAATTTTCAAGTTGAAAAGCCACTGTAAATGTTTGATTCCAATATCTTTGTTGTTTTGTCTCAATAAGTAATTTTAGCCCTTGAGATTATGAAAAATTAAGTTTTTCTACTTCGATAGTTAGAGACACATGACAATTTTATACTTATTGTTCACGCTTCTTTTTCTCTACCTTATTATTGAAGAAGTGAGAATCATAGAACATTAGAATCAAACTGATCGAAGCTGTTCATTGTAGATTGTGGGCAAAGGTGCTTCAAAATCTCTCCCCTCTTTTTTAATAAATACATGACTTTTGGAGCTTATTTGACGTCATATAGTGTCGCCTTTTTTTTAGATGCTGTGTTAGAATTGTATGATTGTTATCAAGACTGATGGAAGGAATAGCCTGAATGTGTTGTCTACAGAGAATTGGTGATATGATAAGAATGCAATGGAAGGATTTTGGATATACTTGCTTAGTTGTTTCATTTTGAGGTTTAGATAAATTCTGATTCTAGTTATTTTTTTTTTATGGTCTATACATTGAATTAAGGAATGATGAGTTTTTAGTGATACAGATTCATGAGGTCCATTGAAATTGTTAGTTAAATTTTTTGTGATAACATAGTCGTGATACAAAGATGAGGAGACACAATATATTGATTTTTTTTTTGGTTACTCCGTGCCTTTAGGTACTGACAATTACTAGTTATTTTATATTGGTCTAAAAATAATATCCACAATCTTTTGGGATAATTACATGAAGATCTTCAATGTATGAAATTTGTTTCATTTTAACCTCTAAGACTTTTTTTTTTGATCATTTTAATCCCTCAAGTATCGAATATCTATATAAGAAAGTAGCTTACAATTCAAATTGTAAAAGATATACAAAATTACTATTGTTATTCGCGATTGAGATCGCTTTAAATTTTACTTTAAAGTTAATCTAATGACTAATATTAACACCCTAAATTTAATAAGAAAAATAAGCCCCTAATGGTGTGTTTGGAGTGAATTTTTAAAAGTATTTTTAAAAATCATTTCTCATAAATATTTTTTAAAAAATAGTGTTTGAAACTGCCCCACTGCCACCACCATCGCCACTGCCACCACTGTCGCCCCCACCACCACCATCGTCCTCGCCGCCACCACGGTAATTGCCACCTATCACAACCATTACCGTCTCCCATCACCACCATTGTCGCCTACCACCTCTCACCCCCACTACAAACTGATACTTAAATTTTTTTATATCTTTTCTATGTTTGTGATTTGAGTTTGAATATGAATACAAATATATTTATTATTTATAATTTTTTATTACTTTGTGCCTTCAGGCATAGACAATAACTAGTCTATATAATAAAATAGCTTACAATTCAAATTTTAAAAGATAAAAAAAATAATTTTTACTATTCGGAATTGAGATCGTGTTAAATTTTACTTTAAAATTAATCTAACGGTTAATATTAATACCCTAAATTTAATAGGAAAAACAGGACTCTAAGAGTGTGTTTGCAGTGACTTTTTAAAAATACTTCTAAGAATTATTTCTCATAAATACTTTTAAAAAAATAGTGTTTGAAACCGTTCCACCACTGCCGCCGCCATCGTCGTCGTTGCCGCCACCATTTCTACCACCGTCGCTACCACAGTCATTGCCACCCACCGCAACCATCATCGTCTCCTACTACCACCATCATTGTCGCCCACTACCTCTTACCCCCACTACAATTGATGATTAAATTCATTTATCACTCCTCTATGTTTGTGATATAATTTTGGATATGAATACAAATATGTTTATTGTTTATCATTTGTTATTACTTTGTGCCTTTTGGTACAGATAATAACTAGTGTTTTTATATGATCCCTCAAGCAGACAATGTTTAAATTATTAACATTTTTTTATCATAAACTTGTCACGTAATACCTATAATATGGATAAAAAATAATTTTGATAGTTCTTAAAGAAAATTTGGGTAGTTCTTGACAAAAAATTTGTAACATGAGTAGTTTTTGATCAAAATTTGGATAGTTCATAACCAAAAATATATAATTATGGTAGTTATTTAACCAAAATTTGAGTAAAAATTTAGTTAGGAATTATTCAAATTATTTTTTATCCATATTTAAACATGTGACAAACTTATGATAAAAAATTGTTAGTAATCTGGACGTTGTCTGCTTGAGGAACCATATAAAAATATTAGTTATTTCTCATTTCTGAAGACATGGAGTAATAAAAAAAATAGTCAACAATAAATATATTTGTATTCACATCCAAAATCAAATCATAAAACAGAGAGGAGAAAAAAAAAATTTAAGCACCGGTGGTAATGGTGGTGGTGAAAAACGATGATGATTGTGGTGGTGGCAGCCGTGGGGTCGCAATGGTGATGGTGGTGATGGGTTTTGAGTGACAATAGTTGTGGTGGTGGGTGTGGGTGTGAGTGGTGGTGGGCGACAGTGAAAGTGGTTGACAATGGTGGTTGTGGGGCGATGACTGTGGTGGCGGCGATGGTAAGCTATGACAATGGTGGTGATGGGCGACGATGGGTGTTTTTAAGCGACAATATGATCGGTAATGACGAATGACGATAGTGGTGGTGGTGATAGGTGTGGTGGGGGTGGGTGGCAATGAGTGACAACAGTAGTAAACGATGACGGATGGCGGTTGTTAGTGGCGATAGATGTGGTGGATGCGGGTGATAGTGGCTGGCAACAATGGTGGACAACGACTGATGATGGTGGGTAATAATGGTGGTGGTGGGTGCTGATGATGGGCAACTGTGGTAGTGGAATGATGGCGATAGTAATAATAAATATAAGAATAAAATGACGATAATGATTGGTGGATGACAATGGTAACAATCGGTTATGAGTGGTGGTGGTAAGGGTAGTGAATGCGACGATGTTGTTGGAGTGGCGTGGTGATGGTTGTGGGGGGTGGGGTTGGGGCGTTAGGGGAGGTGGGATAGTGGTAGTGGTGGGGGTGGTGACAGTGGTGTTGGTGGTGGGGTAATAGTGGTGGTGGTGGTTGTTGTGGCAGAGGTGGTGGTGGTGGTGGTTGTTGTGATAATGGTGATAATGGGGGTGGTTGTTGTGATAATGGTGATAGTGGGGGCGGTGGTGGTAGGGTGGCAGCAATGGTGGGGGTGGTAAGATGGCAATAACGATGGTAGTGGTTTGTGGTAGGGTGACAATAGCGATGATAATGGTGGGTGGGTGGTGAGACAATGGGTGTGGTAGTGGTGGTTGTGACAGAGGTGGTGGCAGTGACAGTGGTGATGGTGGTGGGGCAATGAGGGTAGTTGTGGTGGTGGAATGGCGATGGCGGTAGTGGTGGGGTGGTGGAGATGGTGGTGGGTGGTGGTGGTAGTAAGGCGGTTCCAAACACTATTTTGTTTTTAAAGTACTTAAAGAGAAATTATAAATTCTAAAAATACTTTTAAAAAATCACCCAAAACACACCTTTAGGGAACTTATTATCGCTATTAAATTTGAGAAGTTAAAATAAAATTTAAAACAATCTGGACCGCGAAAAGTAAAAGTCATTTTGTTTATTTTTTAGATTTAAATTGAATTATACTTTATTATATAGATTAGTTATTGTCTGTGCCTGAAGGCACAGAATAATAAAAAAAAAAAGTCAGTAATGAATATATTTATTTACATTTAAAATTAAATCACAAATATAGAGGAGAGAAAAAAGAATTTAAGTACCAGTTATAATGGGAGTGAGCGATGGTAGTGATGGTGGGTGGTAGTGGCGGTGGTGGGGTGGCGATAGTGGTGGTGGTAGGGTGGTGGTGGGGTGGAGGTGACGGTGGTGGTGGTGGTGGGGGTAGTGGGGGATGGTGGTGGGGGTGACAACGGCAGTGGTAAGAAAAGTGGCAGTGATGGTAAGGTGGTGGTAGGGTGGAGGTGGTGGATGTAATGGGGACGGTAGTGGTCGGGCGACGGTGATGGTGGTGGGATGGCAACTATGGTGATAGTAGGCGGTGGTATAGTGACGACAGCGATGGTGTTGGTAAAGGATGGGAGTAGTGGTAATGGTGATGGTGATGGTGAGGCGGTGGGTGGGGTGGTGACATTGGTGGTGGTGAGGGGGTGGTGGGGTGGCGACGGTGGATGTGATAATGATAGTGGTGATAATGGTGGGGATAGTTTGGTGATGAGGTGGGGTTGGGTGGGGTGGGGGTGGTAATAGTAATGGTGGTGGGACTATGTGAGTGATGGTGGTAGTGGTGGTAATGGGGTGATTTCAAAAACTATTTTTTTTATAAAAAAAATATTTATGAGAAATTATAAG